TTTTTTTTTTTCCAGGACCGGGGATTGAACTCCGGACCTTGCACTTGTGAAGCAGGCGGTGGAATCACTGAGCTAAATCCCCAGCCCTATGATCATTCTGCCTCAGCCTCCCAGAGTGCTGGGATTATAGGCATGTGCCACCATATCTGGCTATTTTTTACTTTTTCAGTGACTTAGAGCATTTGAACTTATTTATCTCTCAAAATCCTGGTTAAGAAAGGCATCATAGGGCTGTGGATTTAGTTCAGTGTTTCTGCTGCCTGCTTGCAAGCGCAAGGTCCCGAGTTTGATTCCCAGTACCAAAAAAAAAAAAAGAAAGAAAAGAAAAACATCATCACACAAACTCAAAGGACTGGGAATTTAGCTCAGATACAAAGTCCTGAGTTTGATCCCCAGTAGCAGGAAAAGGGGGGGCAGCATGCAGAGAAGAGCGTAGGAAATGGTGCCATTAGAAGTTTGTAAGGCAGAGAATGGATCCACAGCATACAGTTGAAGTGGAGAGGATTCATCTAATCATTGATCATTTCCTGGACAGACCAGGAGGAGGCTGGAGGCATGGAGACCAGTAAGGAGGTTGTCACACACATAAAAAGAGGGTGTGTAGCCCGGGAAAGATATGAGCGGATGTTTCCAATGCTGCTGCCACAATTACCTTGTGTATTCTCTTAAATTGCAAATTTCTGGGGTAATTCAAAGCCAGGCTTGTCATGTAGGAGTCTTCCCCAGAGTTCGTTAGGCTGATGTTTATGGTCAGTTCCTTGGTGAGACCCACCACCAATTCCTGCCTGAACAGGGGAAAGATAAAAGTGTTACCAATTTCTTTAATCTATAAAACTTCAATACAGTAGACTAGCACATTCTTAACTACATAGACAAATTGTCTAAAGGATACATTTAGCCTAGATTTTCTTCCCCTCAAAAGAAGCAAACACTCGGGCTGCCACACCCATCTCAGTTGCTGGGTGAGATCATAATGGCCACCACTTAGTGCTTGCCATGTGCCAAGGCTGTGCTTCCTACCCTTCACCCCCTTAGAACCCTATGCAATGGAACAGTTACTCTCTAGGTTGTGTAAGAAGAAAAGAAATCAAGAGAGGCCAATTTGCCCGAAGTCTAGCATCCTCCAGAGAGAGTTGGGAGAGTTGAAGCCAAATCCTCTTTCTACCACCAAATCACTGTGGCCCTAGGCAAGGTCCTTCATGACACATATCCATCCTACAGATATTTTTTTCACTGAGTTTATTGGTACTTTTTAAGTGTACAGTACAGTTACATTTATCATTGGGACCTTGTACCTTTACATGACAGATCTTGGTTCTCATTTTTTCCCACACCCCTGCACTCCCTTCACCCCTCCTCCTTCCCTATTTACAAAGACTTTGTTTCCATTTGTTCCTTTTCTCATATTTTTTCTTTTCCCTGAGGCATTGTATACAAGTCAGATGCTCCACACAGCACTGGAGAGCAGTATACACAAGCCACATACGATCCTGCCTTCTTACAAAGCCCTCCCCTCTTTGAGACAGGGTCTTGTGATATAGTTTGGGCTTGCCTCCAACTCACTATGTGGCCCAAACTGGCCTTTAACTTGCTGTGATCCTCCTGATCCTCCTGCCTCAGCCTCCAGAGTGCTGAATTACAGGTGTGTGCCACCACACCCAGCAAAGCCCTCTTTCGTGGCTTCAGCTCTTCCTCCTACAAAAATCATTCAGGCCCACCTAACTAAAAAGCTATGGTTCAAGATATGAGCCCACTCAGCAGACTGCCCACATGTTGTTAAATACTTCTGAGATCTTTGGGGTAACACAGTAACAATACAAAGAAAACTTCTAAACTATCTGAAATGTCCGAAGAAGGAACGTGCAGATATGGGAAGTAATGTGGCTTGTGTTTTGTTGTTGTTGTTGCTTTGTTCTGGTTTGCA